CAATAAACCCATTCACCCAAGTCCTACACCCATCTCATAACTTTTCTAGAGATCTGTGTCAAAATTTAATGGTGATCCTTTGGGGTCCTACTCACGTGCGTGTGGGAGGGTCTCATAATGTCATTACTCATATATATATATCATAAAATATTTAATATTTTTTATATGTCCGAATTTGTACCCATGGCACACTTTGCCAAGGTGCCGAATCCCAGTAACTAGGCAGAATTTTAAAATCTTGGTCTTGGTCGATTTTGAAGACCATAAATCTTCAATTTAATCATCATCAAACCAATTTAAGACCATAGCTATTCACTAGTTGCACCACCTTGGTTTTCAAGCACATCGGGCAATGTTCATCTCCAGCCCATATCATCAACTCAGCAGTAAATTTGAGAAAAACACAAGAAACCATTTGATATATATACTCTAGAATTCATGATAGCCATAATTTCTAAGAATTCTTCGAAAGAAAATTCATGATTGGGAAAAGCTGATATATTATCAGTACTTAAAAACAATCTCGGGCCACTTTTGTTTCAAATGCAAGCACCCCTAATTCTTCTTATAAGATCTTACCCGATCATAAGGTGTTCCCCTAGCTATTCCAAGCCGGCCATAATGATCCACATCAGTTATGGCTGCGCTGCATACCAGCAATGCATCAATTAGGTTCTAGAATCTAGATGGCATACCCATCAAAGAAACTACCAGTCAATCCATAATTATCAATAAGCCACAATCCTTACAATTAGGGCAACAATACCCTAATCCATAATTATCAATAAGCTATAATCCTTAAAGGTAGGGTAACAATACCCTAATCCATAATTATCAATAAGCTATAATCCTTACAAGTAGGGCAACTGTACCCTGATTCTTTATAATCGACCAATGGAATCTGATCAACCTATACAATCGTTAAAGATCATTGCTAATAATCAAACCTCACATTCAACTAAATTGCACCCTAATGTTCATGAAGTTAACAGTATTCCTGATAAATCCATGAATAACCAAATCAGTAGAAAATCTGATCAATCTACACATCAACTAAATCCAAATTCTTCGTGATTAATACCTAGAAATGCGACCAATTCATCCATATAACTTACATCCCCACGTTTATATTTTATAGACTAGCACTAATCAATGCCTTATAATCAAAAGCATAAAAGCTAATCAATCCAATATGCATTCTCAATCCATGTTTGTACTTTATAGACTAACAATAATCAATGCACAACAAATAAGCCCTGATAATCAACAGCATAAAAGTGAAACAATCCAATATGCATTTTCAAGTTACAAAATTAATAACAAAATTCAGAAGTCCATTATAAATAAACTATTTTAAATATGCATTGCTCAATCCAAAGCATTCACTGTGAAAAAAATATAAAGAATCCACGAAAGCCATAATTTCCATACCTATTCCTCTAAGAGCCTTCTCAACATTGACTGCTGATATGAGAGATGGAGATTTCCTCGAAGTCTCAGCAGGCGTCTCAGATGTGCTCTCAACTGTAACTTCAGACGAGGATTCAGCTGCACTTTGCACCATAAAACTTCTCTTTGCCGAAAAGGAGTGAATATTTGGCCGGAAATTGCAAAGATTGGCCGGAATCTGGTGGGTGCTAGGGCGTAGAATGCAGGGCTTGGTCAGAGAAACCCTTGATAAGGCCATGGCGGCCATGTGTGAAGGGTATGTGAGATTGTGAGGTTTGTGAAACGATAAAAAAAGAGATAGAAGCTCTTTGGTTTTAAAGGCGCTCCAGACTCCAGTTGGGTCTGTCGTTGTAAGTTTACAGTTTTACCCTCGATGTTTGAAGTCCTGCGCCTCTATGGTAAGTTTACAGTTTTACCCTCCAGTTGGGTCTGCCAAACGCACTTTTTGGGGGTAAACTTTTGCATTTGGCACCACCTATTTTATATGGAAAAGCATAACAAAGGCACAACAAAACTCAAAATCAAATAGTTATAATTGTATTTGTGACTAAACTCCCAACCCCACAAAAAATTTCTTGAACTTCAATGATGTACTTCAAGCCATCCAATTTGGCTTCTAATCTTTATAGTATCAATCCTCCTTTTACCTATAAAAATAATATATATACGAGGGTGAGGTCCTAAACAATCAAATGAAGGCATATTTTAAAAAGTTAACTATAAGAGGTTGTTTTGATTTGAAAAATTGTTAATTCAATCATATCAACCTCAATATGTATGGACATAATTAAAAATAAATTTCAAGTATCGAAAATAGTGCATTTTATAATGTATTTTTTAGATCTTCAATTTTTTAGATTTTCAAGTATTCATAGGTATGCTTGATCTACACTATTTTTAATCTTTAAATTTTATAATTGGAGATAAAAATAAAATTTTAGGCTATCATGAAGATTTATCATATTGAAACGTCATATTTCAATACTATTTGAAAGTGCGCCTTACTTTGATTGTTTAGGGCCTCAACCTTATATTATAGAAACCATACCTATTGTACAATTAGGTTATACTTTATTTTTAGGATGGGTTTCTATGAGTCAACCATTCATACTATTCATATGCGGGCCCCCTCTTAGACTATCTTAGAAATAGATTTTTAATCTAAAATTTTAGGGATTGATGATCTAGCTTTATATGATCATGAGTGAAAAATAAAAAATTTATATTTAAATGTTGTTTTTTTGGAACATTTCTACATCATATAAACCTTGTGAGTTTTTTACAATGTCCATTTAAACCGTTGGTGACTTAGCATGCTCTTGCACCTACTGGCTCATGGAGGACTTTTCATTTACTTTATAATCATTTGATGTGAAATTTGACAGTTTGGATATATATCATTGTAGATATATCTTGGTGAATTAAGGTTGTTTTTTTTAAAAAAAAAATGCATAAAGGGGTAAATTTATAAAATTAATCCTTAGTACATATTTTTATGAATTTTATTGTGAGATATTTATTTTTATTTTTTCTAATTTGCCATTTGTTCGATGTTTCAAACATGAAACCCTCCTCTTTTATTTATTATTTCTTAGTTCTCGACACTTGTGGGGTAGTCTAGTAGATTAGATTCGAATGCCTCATTTCTAGGGTGGTTCTCATAACAACCACATCTGTCTAAGGGCCAAACTGAAAAAATAAAAAAACAAAAGAGGGGCCTCACTAAATATTACTGAAAATATGGACCAAAGGTAATTTAAAAATTCTTACCGTGTATGTAAATTTCCCTTATTGGTTTTATTCGAATGAACCAGACATGCTATTTATTAAAATACATATAAGAGATAAATTATTTAATGTTTTTACATACTTTCAGCTTTTCTAACTTAAGACTCTGCTTTTTTATGGGTATTTCGAAAACAATTAAAACATAAGAGTTAAATATTAAAATTATCATTTCATATAGGTAATTTTTTTAAAGACATCCAAAGATATTTATTAATACAAAAAGGAGTTTACATCAAAGGAGATGCAAAGAGAAGTATGGGACACCACACACTTTGCTAACCCATCAGCGATACCATTAGCCTCACGGTACACGTGTGAGAAAGTAATCGAACAGTTTGAACAAATATCCAAACTCTTGAGCCACATAGATCGTAATTCCCAAGAGACCAATTGTTCCGTACGACATCACCCGATGACATTCAAATAATCGCCTTCAACTTGCCAAGAACTACCCAAAACCTCTCTCTAAATATCTCCACACCTTTGAACAAGGCATGCAATTATGCCGAGTTGGCCGTTGCCACATAAGCCAACAAAACACTATCTTCAAAATCTCAAAACACCCCTCCTATTCCAGCTAGGCTTGAGTTCCCGAAAGAACTCCCATCAAAGTTCAGCTTAATGCACCCCAAAAGCCATTAGGTTTACATTTGGGCAAACCAAGAAAGAACAAGTTAGAGAAATTTATGATAAAGTCCATTTCATATAGGTACTTTAGAGAAACCTCTATGTAAGGTGTTATCCTTGTCTATAGGCCCACCTCAAGTACCCATTGGAAAGGGAAAGGCTTGTTTGGGCTCTAGAAAATTCAGCAATCGATGATATGAAAACTTAAAATATGCGAGTAAAGTGCTAAATTGATTTTTTCATATGAGGAATTTGATAAGGAAGAAGTTTATATAAGATATCAACCTTAAGTCATGAGGCACGCGTAAAAAACCTATCGAAATAGATCTGATGCCACAAATTATGAATTGACCATCTCGACTTCGAGACGTTGGATATAGAAAAAAGAGGACTTTGAGTACCAAAAGCGTATTTTGAAACATATTACCCAAACAATCTATTTTAAATATTTTTAAGTGTCTTTAAATTTTATAAACCAAAATCATTTATATCCCCATATGAGTATACTGTCCATTTACTCCATCCGTTATAAACCAATGTAGAACTAATCTTGGACCTAACATTTTGGGGAAGTAATGTTTTCAACCTATGGACTAACCTTAGTTAAAAAAATTGGAAATTGAAGTTTCTATGTGGTAGAAAAATAAAAATATCCACATGATTAAACAAAGACAGTGGCCGAGATCTAGGTGTCAAAAACTAAAAAACTATTTTTTTTTCATTTGAAAATCATCATGAAGTGATTCTTAGGTGGTTTCCAAATTCTCAAACAGAAAAAAATATCCTAAGCAGGTTTTGTAGTTGAGGGAGTATATGTAATTACCCAAAAAAATCAGGACTATATGTATAATATATGCTCTAGGAGCATGGTGTATGCGCTCATTTTATGGTTAGGGATAGAAAGTTTTCAATATCAAAAATACATTACCATGTTTGGAGGGCGCCTTGATTGAATTTGTTTAAGGTAGGCACCTTATACAAACCTCACCCTGTGGTTAATTTTCCTTGACAACTTCGCGTGAAAAATTTTTAAAAAATGGGAGGGCATTTTTGTCTTTTGGACAGTCCTTGTGAGAGGCGTTACTTTCATTATTACCCAAAATCATCTCCCGCTAAATCCATGTAATCCGATTTCATTCTAATTTTTCATGGCCCCAAAATTCCCCGCCAAATTCATTAAGTTATCAGTAAGCTTTCTGAAACTTCAGAAACCCTAAGAAATTTCAGAGTGTCACTCGGAACAGTTCGAGATGGAAGCTTTCTGAGACTCGACACCCTGGGGAATTTCAGTGTTTATACACTGCCACAGAAAGGTTTTCTGAAACTCTGGAAACCCTAAGAAATTTAAAAGCATACTGCGTTAAATATTTCATGGTGGGCTCGATTCCCTCCGTTTCTTTGAAGTACTTCTGAATTTGCAGAAGGATTGCAGAGATTTTGCAGTTTTCTCTGCAAATTCAAGCTCAAGCAACAAGGTATCAACTGTTATTTTGGGTAACAAGGCCATGGAAAATAACGTATATTTGTAAGAATTGTATCTCTATTTGTTTGTAGATATTAGAAGTGCTTTGCAATTACAAGAGAAAGGGAAATCTCCGAGTTTACATATCATTTATATAATCAGCACCATTGGATTGTCTTATGCCAAGATCGTGCTTCCAGCCTTAGTTTTAAAGTTTGTACGCTCTTTTTGTTTCAGAGAATCTGTTGACTTCCAAGAATTTGTCCAGTTGCTGTTATATTCTGTAAGGAATTTATAATCTGAAGGTATGACTCTGCCATGGTTGAGATCTGGGAGTGGAATCTTCATTGCTATGGAGTGTTTATGAGTTATGACATGGAGATTGAACATAAAAGCTCTTGATATTATCGGTCATTTTAGGGCCATAGACAGAGTAACAAGCTGATGGGATTTTGAATCATGGAGAGAGATTGATAGCAACATGTTGCAGAGAGAGATGGAGGCTCCACGAGAAGATGGAGGGAGAGGTGGGCTTGTTGCACAAAGATCAGTGGTTGGATTTCCTTTGGCTGCACAGCCGGAGATAATGAGAGCTGCAGAAAAGGATGATCACTATGCTTCTTATGTCTATGATGCTTGCCGTGATGCCTTTCGCCATTTATTTGGTTAGTGTTGATGGTTTTCCATGTATATTCTTATGTGGAAAACCTAGCTTTGTTTTGTTTTGTATTATTCAGTGATATGAATTTTGCATTATTGCATGTTTATGGCTAATACAATCAAAGCGGACTATATATTTCAATGCTTGTTTTTTGAAAATCTGGCTGATTCATGTGATTCTGATTTAAGTTAAACCCATAAGACATTAACCCATCAGTCAGTGTCTTAGCAATTTGATATTGTTTATTGTGTGTTGCATTTGAATCCATTACCTCCTAGATTTTTTTTGGTTTTTCTTTCAAAGAGTTCACCTTGGTTTCTTTGTTGTGCAGGTACAAGGGTGTCTATTGCTTTCCAAAATGAGGTTAGCTGTTGTATTTTAGCTTTTGATGTTCCTCTGTTTATATAAAGTGGCTTTGATGAGTCTTTTTTATAATATCGCCTATCCTGTCGAAATAAGTACTTCACTTCTAGCTATTTAGTTTATTCACTGAATTTTTTAGCATGAATTGATGTTTTCTGATGCTTGTGAGAGAATGTATGAGATTTTCCTGGTGTCATCTTTGGGGTATGGAATTCTAGCGATCACGCTTATCTCTGTTCTTACATTCATTCATTCTCTCTTCTTGGTGTTATTGCAGAGTGTACTTTGTTTCATTGCTCCTCAAGTGGAACCTATTTATACTAGGAATTTCTATAAGGACTAATTCTAACATAACTTAATAAGTAGCGTACCATGCCCGCAAAACACTGATTTGGAATTTAGTATATTGTGTAAACTATGATCAAATTTGTGAGGGCAGCTCTAGAAATATCCTTTGAAATTGTTCTTGAACAAGAAGCAGCTATGCTAGAAAACCATAATTATCGAAACTATGAATTATAGTTATTGTACATGTGGGCTGTGGAAACCAACATTTTTACTAGTTATGCTTGCTATAGGACTTACTGAAAATTCAGCAGTCTTGAAAACCATAAACGGCATAAGTTGTGAGGAGAGGATGTGCATCTTAGCACTTTAAAGGGTATGGTTTCTACTTCCAAGGCTCATTTCAAGCAAATATTGCCCACAATGACAATCATGCTCATTACCTTTTGCCCCGTTATATATTTGATGACAAGAAATGAAGTGCTCATAGCTATAGAAAGGGCAGTGCATGGTGTTTGTCCTTGAACAGATGAGCATAAGCCCAACAAAAGTCTCAGAAGAATATTTGTCGTGGAAATTCATGCGTGACATGTTTCTGAAAAACCTTCTTGAGCTGAGTTTTATCTGTATCATTGGAATTTCTACTTTATTATTTTCTTTACTTTTTCTTTGGATAATTTTATGTGTTTTAGAGCTCACCATTACACTCACAGAGCAAATTCTGATGTCAGTATTATATCCTGGCTTTGAAGAAATTATGTGCAACACAAGTTCATATTTATTAGACATGATATTCATCCCATGAATTATGCAAATTTTAGTAATAATAGGAGTAGAAACGAGGAAGTAGTTAAGATTGACGGTCAATAAATACCTAAAAGAGATTGTTTCCGATATCTAGAGTTGATAATTTAAGAGAATGGAGAGATTGAGGAAGATGTCGCACATAGAATTCGAGCTGGGTGTGCGAAGTGGAGATGTGCATCCGGAGTTTTATGTGATCACTTGATACCATTGAGACTGAAGGAGAAGTTCTATAGGACGACTATAAGATCAGCCATGCTTTATGGGACAAAATGTTAGGTGGTCAAGAAACAACATATCTATAGGAAGAGCGTAACTGAGATGAAGATGTTGAGATGGATGAGTGGCAATACAAGATAGGATATAATTCATCATGAATATATAAGAGGGAACTTAGGTGTGGGTTCTATAGGAGATGAGGGAAAGTAGACTTAGGTGGGCTGGCCATATGCAACATGGACCTAATGCAGTAACAGTGCCGGTTAGGAGGTGCGATTGATTCAAGTGGAAGGCTCTTCAAGGGCAAGGGAAAGGCCCAAAACGACATGGATAGAAATAGTGATAAATGATATGGTGACTTGTGGTCTTACTGAGGGTATGACCCTTGATAAAGAAGAGTAAAGACATAATTCATGTAGCCAACACAAAATCATTGGGATAAGGCTTGGGTGATGGTGATGGTGACTCATCCCAAGAAGTTTGGATTACGCTATGCTGTTTATCATATGACAAAGGAATAGATCGGATTGTCAAGATATCCATAACTTATTATAGATTGAGAGTCCCCACTCACAAACATCTTCTCTTTAAAATTGTTGCATGTCTAAGAAATCTTTTTCGATGCATTATACATTCTTGGCTTTCAGCAATGTACTTTATTTAATGTTGGATTAAATGGAATCTTTTATACATTATACTTTTGCTCATCTTAGATTTTCTCTACCCTTTTTGATGTGGTTTAAGTATGTCTTTTGTGTTTGCATCTGGAGTCTGGGTTTTATGATTCTTTTCCTTTTCGTTATTCTTGTTAGAGGAACATTGTGATAGTTTCGTCTTATTGACATAATCTCTTTACTTGCTATTATATTCGCAGACAAAGTTGTTGGGACAGATGCTTTATTATGTATTGACTACGGGTTCAGGACAACAAACACTGGGAGAAGAATATTGCGACCTAACTCAGGTCTATAGCCGTTGTTTAATTCTTCTGTTCATGTATTTTTCCATTTATTGTAGTAAAAAGATAGATTTCATGTCTGCTTGCCTACCGCAAAAGATGCATCTGAAGTTTTTGTATAAAGCCATCTCTGCTTGACTTCTCTTTATTAGCTTCAGATTTTCCATTTCGCAATTCTGTTGGTGTCATTTGTGGTAGATTTTCTGGTGTGTTAGATGATTTACTCAAGTTGGTATTAGTGTTTAGAGTCAAGAAACCTTAAGAAAAGCATGACCAAATTACTCATCATTAGGAAAAGATGTTAAGGCCTTGTTTGGGTGCACTGATAAGCCCCGGCCACGCAAGGTGGATTTATCAACAATGGAATTAAAACACCCTTTTCAAGAAATGGCACAATTGTCATCATATACCTTTTACACAGAAAAATTGGCGCAGAACTGATTGTATTGGCATTGAGAAAGCACAGTACTGCATGAGCCCGCTGTCTGCAGGACTTAGACAGACTTCCAGACAGGGCCTAAATGAGAGATTCCACTTGAGCACTAAAGCTACTAAAACCATGCTTGTATTTGTCGATACTTCAGCATGTGTAAGTTTAGAACTCTATGTTATCCTTAAAATGGGGGAAAAGGGATTAGCTTTGTATCTTCCACTTTTTGCAGGTCTCAAGCTCTTCTGGACTTCCTCCCACACCTGCAAGACGTGTTCTCTTTGTTGTTCTCCATTCAGCGGTTCCTTATCTTGCTGAAAGAATAAGGTCGTGTATCCTGTCCTTGTCTATCTGATGCTACATAGAGATATATCCTATATGACATTACTGTGGGTTTATTTATTTTGTTGTCTTGTCTCTGACCTATCGTGGTTTATGATCTACTGAATGAATTATGTCTCTTTTGCAGCTCTAGGGCAGCTGCTCGTGGAATGCTTCTTGCCAATTCACAACCAGAGGAGTTGTATGATAATTACCATCCAGGAAGGGGTGAAGGCCATTCTTCCGGTACTAGTGGAAGTTATTCTTCTCTTCCTGGAACAGGAGAATCGGTGATACGACCTTTGGGGATGCGGGATAAAATTCGTTTGTTATGGCTTCGGGCTTTGGAAAAGTGGCCTTCGGTATGACCCATTCCTTTAGAAATTAGTGGTATATTCATGTACTATGACTTCTAGAATACGATTCCAAGGATATACTTCCCGCTATGGGAATGGGGGGGTATGTATTTGAATTTTTGTTAGCAAATTGCAACTGGAGGATTAGATGATACCATGGTACAAATTCTTTTCATGTCAACGCTCCAAAATCCAAATAGTATTTATCTAGTCCCTGAATAGGTATAGCTTGGTTATGAACGATCAAATAAACAAAGGAAATGAGCTAAATATATTTGTTCAGTGCTCAATTAGGGAGGGTGCTTCATTTTGATGCATTTTTTTATGCTTTTATGAAGGAGAAGTAATTATTCTAACCCTTTTCAGGTGCTTCCATTTGCTCGTGAGGTTTCACAACTTGTACTTCGTGCAAATTTAATGCTATTTTACTTTGAAGGTAATCCTTTAGTATTCGTTTGTATGTCAGCACGTTGAACTGAGAGCAACACACCCCTCTTCTTGATTATCCTAATCTTTCAGAAAGACCACGAAAATTTGTTACTTTTGGTTAGGGAACACATTTGATCAATTGTTCAATAGTCACCCAGCGCACTTTCTCAATGATCCACCCAATGCTGTTGGTAAAGCTAAAAAGCAATTTTTTGGCCAGTTGCTACCCATGTTCTGTGTGGCAGAATCCAAAGTAGTGCGTGGAAAATTACAAAAATGAGTGGCCAAATTTCCTCCCTTTTGGTTATTGCTAAAATTAATGTTAGTCCTCACTTGCTGAAAGCAATGCATGGGCAAAAGCCATATATCTGTTTTCTGATTACAGAGTTCAAGGAAAGAAATGTGAACTGCAGATTTATACTATCACATATCGAAATGTTAATATCCTCACTGAAAGCCATGCATGGGCAAAAGCCATATATCTGTTTTCTGATTACAGAGTTCAAGGAAAGAAGTGTGAACTGCAGGTTTATACTATCACATGTCGAAACGTGCTGCCGGTATTCGCTATGTATTTATCGGGAAGCCATTGCATCAAAGACCAAGGTAAACAATGAAAATTTCTTTTCTCAGCGTCTGTTATCTTCTTTCTGTAAATTTTGAGAATTTATCCATAACTTTTTGGTCTGTCTGAAAAGTGGGTGATTATGCTCTACCATGGTCTACACTCAATTTCCCTGAATCATCTAGATGCCCCTTTACATCATGATATCATATGGAGTCTCTCTGAATTGATGTGAGTCATTTAAGTGATTAAAATCATGTCCTCACTGGCCATTTTTGATATTGCAGGTATCAAATTCTTGGTGTGTTCCTTCTAATCCAGCTTTGCATCATTGGATTTGAAGGGCTGCGCCGGAGTAGTTTGTCTTCTATTGCCAATTCAGTCCAGACATCACTAGGAAGTCAGCCTACACCAACAGGTTATGCCATAATCAACTTTATTTATCACTGAGTTTCTGTTATTTGAGTTCACATTGTCACATATTTAAATAAAGTGCATGGGCTTTTGGGGAAACTATGTTTCAATTAAATTTTCTTAATAAGTAGCATTCCCATCACAGCATCAGCATGCCTTTTCTTCCTCCCTTCTTATTAGTTTTTTTTGTTCTCTGACTTTGTTGGGTTCATAATCATCTACATTCTTGTTAGATGGGTTCCTTCCTTTGTGGGTGTACATTTTAGTGGATCTGATGATAAGCTGACTGCCTTGATGAGTTTCCGCTGGTGTATTGTATTAAGAGACTCATTGGATTAGGATACACATTTTCTCAGACGTTCTACATCGTGTTGCCTATGTTTATCATCAGTGATACTCCTTTTTTGTTGGGTTTTTGTTTTCCTTTGGATGGACTCATCCAACGGCTGCTGCTGCTTTAAACTTCAATGGGTGCCCCGTACCAATTTTCTGAGTTTTGGTGACTCTGTGAGAATTATCATTATATCTTGAGGGGTGGTAGAGTTCCTTAAATCAAAAAATATGTATTTTTAGTCATATTGGGAGAGGATCCTTGTGGAAATCAAAGCTAGGAGGCCTTGGACTCCAATTTTGGCAGGGTTGCGCCAATTTGTTAGTGAAACTTGGAATGGGGCTATGATTATTTGGATTGCTATTTGGATTAGGATCCTTTAGGAAGAGATGAAGAAAATGGGATTTAGGAGTTCAGGGTCAGAGTTGAATGTGACTGGTATTTTGTTTTATTGTCATAGTGACTTATAGTGGGCCCTTTTTTGGGTAGGGTCTTAGACAGGAGGTTATGAGAAATAGATTGCATCACCACTTTTCTTGTCACCAGCTTGCAATGTTTGTACTTGGGGCTCTGTATATATGTATATTTTTTAGGGAAACTTTGGCATCTGTTATTGTTAACCATTACATATTTTAGAAGATTTGTGTATGCATATATAAAGGTCGTCATTCTTGTCTTCATTAATGATGTATTTATGTAGCTCTCCGTACTGCCTATTGTTTTTCTGACGTAGATGCCTATCTGGATCTTTTTCCTCCCATCACAGGTCCTCTGAAACCAGCCTGGAAATTTTATTGGCTTGATCCTAGTTCTGAATATGCCACTGTGACTTTTCTTTCTTTATGGTTTACTCTATTTTCCCAGAAACTATAATTAAGTTGTTCTTTCAATTTTTTCATTAGTGTTGCAATGTAGTTTACTAGTTCAGGAATAGGTGTGAAATGGCAGTGTTTGTCCAGGGTGGTATTTTTACATTCTAAAAACTAGTCCCTTTATCTTTTGCGTTTTCAGGACAAGGCATGCCAGTTTTAAATGAAGATGGAAGTTTGATTTCGGATTTGGGTGCTGGAAAGGGAGATTGGACTTCTCATGCCGCAACTGTTCCTGAGGTATGTTTTCTGCTTAGATCTGCATTCTTCATACTTGTCTAAAATATTTTCAAACAACACAATCCATTTGGAACTAGAGATAACTTACCCGGTCCCTTCATATGAAATTCGAGAATATAGGTATATTTCTAGTATATAAGTTTGCCACAGAGTGGATAGATTTCCAATGAAAATAGGAAACTTAGTTGATCTTGATTTTGTATGTCCTCCCATTTTTGTACCACTGGTTTGTTTGTTTTTTAATAAAGACAGTCTGTCACAGAATTGGGTGCAACGAGAGAGAAATAGGAACATACTTCCTGCTTGGAACACTGTCCTCTTTGGTGGTAAGCCAAGGGACTAAATACCGATAGCAGAATATCCTATTAAGATTTATTTAATTTAGTGCCTTTATCAGGTAATTGGTGAATGTTCTGTTTAAACTAGGCAGACAATACCCCCTCTCTCTCTCTCTCTCTCTCTCTCTGTCTATCTATTATCTCTGTGTGTGTGTGTGTGTGTATG